TCGTTACACAAACAAATTATTGATACAAATAAATTTAACGTTTTACTAGAGAAAAAACATAAATAAAAAAACATTATGAATTTTATAGTCATGCGAATATGAACACGCAGTGTGGTGGTGAGTGAACAAACACTTGCCGTCACTTGCACCCGTCATCGCCGGAATCACAGTATCAACGAGCAGATTCTGCAGGTGGGTATCGCCGTAATACTGACGGAACAGATCACTTCGACCACTGTCAGTATATCGAGCGCTCTTGCCGATACTCGAGCCAAGCCTGCCGAGAATATCACTCGACGAGAGGAAGACGGATGGAGTTTCGGTACGGTAAAGCTATAGAATATCGAACGCCTTGTACTGGGGACCTCCAGCATCATTAGAAGCTGATATGGCGAGACCGGTTGTGATAATTGCTCCGGTTGATGTGCCGGTCATCATGTCAAGATGGAGGAACACGAACGCTTGGTGAGTGGTTTCGGCTCGCACAGCCAAACGGCCGGAATGATTCCTCGAATTCCACTGCCATCCATTGAAAGGATATTGTAGCTGGAATGGGCTTGATTGACAGCGTTGCTGATCCTCATTCGCTCGTACAGTTGGATTCATGCATTCATGCTTTCGTCTTTCAACTTTTCATAAAGTTTGAGCTCTTTCTGCGCATTGGCGTAGTCGAAATGAAGCGCTTCCCTTGCGGCATAATGGGCGTCGTTAAATTTTGCTTGCTTTCGGCTAGCCCCTGACAGAAGATACCAAGCTGAGATACCAAGCAAGATACCAACCGCGGTACATGTTACCGCGGTAATCTAATTTTTCGGTAAATTCATCGTATCGTTGCACGGTAAAAAGGCTTTTACCGTTACCGACGGTAAATTACCGGTTACCACACATCCTTAGTTCCTAGATACATAGAAGAATCAAATCTCTTAATAGCTTTCAACTTCAACGAAACGGTCTTAAAGAAAAATTTTACAACATTACCCGTACCCCGCCCGAATCCGTGCAGATCTTGAAGATTCGTGCCTCGCCCGCCCGTCATCACGTGTCCCCGCGGGTCGAAACTCATGGACCGCACACCTCTGCTATCAATTACATATAGCACTAGATCATTATAGAGCAAAGCTCTTTTTGAGTTAATAAGTGCCCCTCATGAGCGGCCAATACATATGATTTTCTGACATACTGATTGGTTAACATTAAAAAAAGTGAATAAGTTACAGCTCATTCTGATATCAAACACTAGATCAATCTTCAACATGTGAGAGAAAAGATGTTTATGTTCATCGAATTCATCTGTCATCTGTCGCTCAAATAAAACTTCTATTACGAATCATCAGCAGTTGATTTACATATTATGTGCGCCTAAGCCACCTGTAGCCTCTGAGTTACCTGCACATCATTTATTCAAATAGCGATCTGAGTAGCTGATATTCATCGAAATTGTTTACTACATGCCTGACTGAATGGACCAGTCAAATGGAGAGTAAGCATGTATGCGCCAAAAAGAGAACAACCGTTTTTACTAAGTATAGAAAGCAAAATAGCGACTTACTATACTGATGATCGACATAGTTGAAGGAAATTAAAAAGGAATTCTAACTGATTATTTGACAAGTTATACTGCAGCGTGTTGATCAAATGAAAATAACCAAAAACAGAAGCAGGTGGGATGAAGCTCTCAGATTTTGTACAAGTTGTTTGTCAACAGAAGAGAGAAATGCACGGACGCAGTTCTTCATTATTTAGAAGTGACCGTACTACATGATTATGATCTTCTTTGACTTCGCCGATATCAGTAACTATTAAACTGTATCTGTGAGCGAACATATAATCAGAAACGTTTAGAATGCAATTTGGTTAATATTCCTAACACAGCGGATCATCACGAAAAGGTATAACTTTTACACTGTGAACTATCTGTAAAGAATTGGGCAAATGGAAAAAGCTTCTAGGATAAAGCAATTACAGAAGATTTAGTTTGACATCAGTACCGTTACTACTGCGAAATCAATACTTCAACATGCACTGAATCTATTATGTTTTAAACGAAATACATCGGCTTTATCGACCTGGAGGTAAGTTTAACTGAAATAAGATTCATCTTTTGCGGAATTGAGAAAAAGTCAAATGATACGATTAACTGTGTGAATTGTGCAGCTTATAGTATAGCTGTAGTGCATAAATGAATAAAAATCTCTTTGTAAGGCTCATTGTTTCAGTTACTACAGCAAAAGTGTGTCTCTGATTAATGAGACGACACAAACTTTTATGCACTATAAAAATACATACTTGGAATTAAAAGAACAATTATTGATGGGGTGAATTTGAAAGCTACGTGTTTGCACTCCGTCAGACAGATAAACTCTTCCATTATAGTTAAATTCTTTTAAGTTTTTAAAATATCTCATCCCGCGCGAATGACAGGATACTTGTCTACAAATATTATGATTTATTTATTTTTGATTCCTCTTCAATTCATTATATATATATATATATGTTAAATCATGCACCAAAACATGTAAAGAAGCCTAATGGATTTTATAATCTTATCAATCCTCGATTTAACATAGCTTTCATCGACCAGGCATTTCTGTCAGAGTCACTTCCACCGTACATTTTCCACGTCCAATATGTCCATCCAGCATGTGCTCCTTTAAATGCTTCGAGTTGTGCTGTCGCATATCGTCTCAAATCATCGTCATTGTCAAAATTTGCTGATCCGGGCCACGCGATTGACCATTCACCGATGAACAACCAATTGCCTCTCCACGCAGCAATATCATTTTTCAAATCATTTTGAGCAAATCTGATCAACTGATCTTTACTTTGTCCCTCAAAGCCCCATATTTGGTATCGATGCCATTCGTGCAAAATACCGGTGAATTGTGGTGGTGGCATAAAGCTGGCCTAGAAATAAAAGGAAAATCAGGTTAATCTCGTTTCCAAGAGTAGATATATATGAAACTGAACCTACCCAGTCACTGGAACCGGCAGATTGCTGATACAGAAGAGGAGCAACAGTGATCAAACAGTCTGAAAATTGACGAATACGCCCATATGCATCATAATAATATTGTTTCAGCACACCTTCATTCGTATTTCCTATAACAGTATTTTTAACATAATTATTTAAGAGAAGGGCTTAGCTATTATTTTCTTGTACCAGTTGGTTCATTCAAAACACCAATTCCAAGGAATGCCACATCATTGTTATAACGTCGAACAAGAAATTCTACGACATCAAGAGTGTTGCGAACATTTTCTGGATAGTTGGACCAGTTCGTTACACCCGGTGTTGATGGCGATGAATGATCATTTCCATTTTGACTTCCCTTAGCTGCATGCATACTGATCAGTATAAGCAAATTATTTCGAGGTGCCCACTCCCGAATTGCTCGATCAAGATAATTTATACCACCTGGAGCAAACATTCTCCATGCATTAGGGTCACCACCCCCAGAATTATCTCTCTCTGCAAAATATTCATTACAAAAATTATTCAACGAACAGATGAATATAAAAACTTACCAGTAATCCAGTATCCAACTGGGATTCGCACTGTATTGAGTTTTGCTGCTTTTATATCTCTAAAATCTTGTTCTGTTATGAAATTATCACGATGTTGTCGGAATCGAGCATCTCCTGTAGCATGGCCAAGAAATTCCATTGTTTTATATTCACCATGGTTAGCGGTGGCATCTGGAACACCGGACCATATAGGCGAAGCCCATGTCATCCATTTCTCAGCAACTAACCATCCTCCTAAGTTGACACCATGCATTGGTTTACGACCATTTCTTACATCTTCTTTCAGAATTTCCAGTTCTGTTGCCCTATACTATAAAAGTGATTTTAACCTTTGTTTTTTTCATTTATATCGTTAGCTTTGTTCGGGAAGCACAAACCGAAAAGTGCGAATACTTTTAAACACCAAATTTTTTTCTTCAGTGGAATTTAGCATTTCATGACCAATAATAAATCTAGATTTTTAACTAGTCGAGTTCATCTCTTTGATATTTTTCTTCTTCTATAAGAAAGCTGCTCCACAACTATTTTAATCAACCTCTCTTATGGAATGAGTGGTTCCTATTGTTAGTTGTCGAAGAACAATAGTTGAAAAAATTCTGAAGTATTTTAATTTCCAAAAAAGAGAATTGTAAAGTTGATAAAAAAAATAAAACTTTTATAATTGAACACTCGAATAAAATGTGATTAATTTTAAAAGAATGTTTTTGATTTTCGACTTCGACACATATGCATTCAAATGTTCTTTACTGTAGACATCGCGAACAATCAGCAAGTGTTCGAAGAAAAGAAGAGAGTGTTTAATAAGGAAAGACGGAAGAATACCCCGACTTGCTGTTACCGTTTCCGGTATAGAGTGCTGTCGAATGGTAGTTTTAATAGCCCGATATCTCCCCTATAGCTGAGGCTTCTGATATGATCATTGGATAGATGATTGCTTAATGCAGAGTTCATGCATCCAATTATCTGAGCTCTCCATACACGCTCACTAACCATGTAGCAGCTTTCTGGAACTAGCTAAAGAAACTGTATTGTACGTCATAACGTAGTGAGTATGCTGTTGGACGGGTGATTCGAGATACTTAAACTCATAAGTAATTTTTCCACGGTTATTATCTAACCTGGGGCACCAAGGTCCGAACACAATACGTTTGCAGTACGTGACGAACAAACTTATAGAGTTTAATTAACTCTCCAATCTTTAAATATATTTTAGAATACATATATAGAGGAAAACTTCGAGAGGAAACATAGATTCTTTTCGAAATTTTCGGCTTCTATTAAGTAAAACAAAATCTTATAAATCTGGAAGAGTTAAAACAAAATCGTTTTAAAATTCGCTATATTCGAAGGTGAATTTTTTGAACTTTCTAGCAGAAAAGATGACGCTACGTCCGGACTATCAAATGACGATGGTCATAGGCTTTGATCATCTATTTATCAAAAGTTATTCAAATATCGTGGAGTTCATTCAATCTTGTGATAAATGACAGTTATTACCTTAAGTCTGAAAGCTCAAAAAATCAATAAACTAGGTTCACTTGAGTCATAAATTGATAAGTGCTCAAAAATACATTTTTCGAGATCAAGTACGTTTATTGAAGTCCGAATCGTTTCGTCACGCTCGTTACGAACTCTGATCAGATACTCAAATAACTGAAGTTCTTTATAAACAGATTCGAAGTTCATGACAAAAAACTATTAGGCGTTCGTAATGAACACCAAAAGAAAGTTCCGGAATTCGTGATAAAATTTGAGTCGGAGTTCGTAAAAGCGTATTACACCGTCTTCAGTATTGAAATTTTTACCGGAGTTCGTGAGAAAAAATACATTAGAGTTTGTAACGATAACAAGGCGGACTTCGTAAGAAAAAATAAGCGGAAGTTCGTAACAGAAAAAATCAGACCTTCGTAACGACCGTCGAAATTCGACGGTCGAATGGAGACAGTTTTTACCGCTGGATCGAGTGTCTCATTTTTTTCTCACTATAGTAAATAGAAGCCTGTTACGAACTCCCATCTTTTTTTCATCACGAACTCCGCCTTTTTTT